ACCTCCTTTCACCCCAACTTTGACCCCTTTGGAGGCGCCACCTTTGGAGAACCTCATGAGGACCCAAACCCACCTCCTTTCACCCCAACTTTGACTCCTTTTGAGGTGCCACCTTTGGAGAACCCCATGAAAACCCAAAACCACTTTTCCTGACCCCAACCTTGACCCCTCCTGAGACGTCACCTTTGGAGAACCTCATGAGGACCTTCTCGGTGTTGAGCTTCCCGGCCAGGGCCAGCGCGTAGGACGCCAGGGCCACCGTGTAGGGCCTGGCCAGCTGCTCGTAGCGCCGGGCCAGGAAGCCGGCGGCTTTTTTGATGCTGTCGTCCAAGTTCTGGGGAGGAAGCATGGACAATTTGGCATCTCAGGTGGCTTCCACGAGGCTCTGGCGCCTCCCCGTCCCCAGCGGGGTCACCCACATTGACGTGGTCCTTGCAGGTGTCCCGTGCCTCCTCCAGGGCGATGAGGACGAAGGCGGTGAGGGACACCTCGGGCTCGGCGCCTTGGTAGCCGCCCTGGGGGATGGAGAAGAGGAGAAGAGCTCGGGATCGGGGTTGTCCCAGAGCCCGGAGGTCCACCAGGAGATCATTCCAACTTCTGTCCTTGGCCAGGCTGAGGGACGCCCAAGGGAGACCCCAGGGACACCTCAGGGACACCCAAGGGACATCCAAAGAATATCTGACCTTCATCTGACCTTCACGTGAGGAACATCTAAGGGACACCCCAGGGACATCCAAGGGACACCTCAGGGACACCCAAGGGACATCCAAACGTCATCCAAGGGACACCCAAAGAATATCTGACCTTCATCTGACCTTCACGTGAGGAACATCTAAGGGACACCCCAGGGACATCCAAGGAACATTCAATGGTCACCCCAGGGACACCCAAGGGACATCCAAACGTCACTCAGCAGATACTCAAAGAACATCTGACCTTCACCTGATCTTCACGTGAGGAACATCCAAGGGACACTCAAGGGACACCCAAACATCACCCAAGTGACACCCAAAGAACATCTGACCTTCATCTGACCTTCACGTGAGGAACATCCAAGCAACACTCAAGGGACACCCAAGGGACGTCCAAACGTCACCCAAGGGACACCCAAAGAATATCTGAACTTCATCTGACCTTCACGTGAGGAACATCTAAGGGACACCCCAGGGACATCCAATGGACACCCCAACTTTGCCCATGGGACACCCAAAAAACACCCAAGGGACACCCAAGGAATGTTTGACCTTCACCCAAGGAACACTCAATGAAATTTCTGAGGTTCACCTGACCTTCACCCCAGGAGAGTCCAAGGAACACCTGACCTTCACCCAAGGAACACCCAAAGTTCACCAGACCTTCACCCAAGGAACACCCAAAGTTCACCAGACCTCCACCCAAAACCCACGCCAAACCTCCCAACCTCCACCCGAGGTCCACCAGCAGCTCCAGGCTCAAGGTGTCCCCCTACCACCATCTCCTTATGGATGACGGGCGCGTCCTCCTGGAAGACGCCGTCCGGCTTCTGCCTGTTGAGGATGAGCCACTTGATGGGGCCGCAGATCTCGCCGTGCTCGATGTCCGTCAGCTTCCTGGCCATGGAGAACACCTTGACCACGTAGGCGGTCAACCTGGGGACGAGGACACCTGAGGGTGGCATCCAGTGCCGTCACCTGGGCCGGGTGGTGGAGGTGGCAGCAGGAGCCTCACCAGGTGCTGGAGGGGCGGTGGATGAAGGCGGCGTAGGAGCTGTCGGGTTTGCGGAAGGCCAACTGCTGGACGTAACCTGCAGGAGATGGCCCTTGGTCACCGCGAGGGGTGGCCTGGGTGGGCTTCAGGCCACCAATGTTCTCCAAACGTTGGTCAACACGAGGGGTGACCTCAGACTACCAATGTTCTCCAACCATTGACCAACACAAGGGGTGACCTCAGACCACCAATGTTCTCCAACCGTTGGTCAACACGAGGGGTGACCTCAGACTACCAATGTCCACCAAAAGTTGGTCAAAACGAGGGGTTGCCTCAGGCCACCAATGTTCTCCAACCATTGACCAACACAAGGGGTGACCTCAGACCACCAATGTTCTCCAACTGTTGGTCAACACGAGGGATGGCCTCAGACCACCAATGTCCTCCAACCATTGGCCCACATGACCAGTGGTCAGTGGTGACCTCAGACCACCAATGTTCTCCAACCGTTGACCAGCACAAGGGGTGGCCTCAGACCGCCAAAGTTCTCCAACTGTTGGTCAATGTGAGGGGTGGCCTGGGTGGGCTTCAGGCCACCAATGTTCTCCAACTGGTGGCCCACACTTTTGGGACCATTCCCCACCACTTTTGGGGCCATTCCCACCACTTTTGGGACCATTCCCACCACTTTTGGGGCCATTCCCACCACCTTTGAGAACATCCCACCACTTTTGAGAACATGCCACCACTTTTGGGACCATTCCCACCACTTTTGAGAACATCCCACCACTTTTGAGAACATCCCACCACTTTTGGAGCCATTTTCACCACTTTTGAGAACATTCCACCACTTTTAGGACCATTCCCACCACTTTTGAGAACATCCCACCACTTCTGGGACCATTCCCACCACTTTTGAGAACATCCCACCACTTTTGAGAACATTCCACCACTTTTAGGACCATTCCCACCACTTTTGAGAACATCCCACCACTTTTGGAACCATTCCCACCACCTTTGGGACCATTCCCACCACTTTTAGGACCATTCCTGCCACCTTTGGGACCATTCCCACCACTTTTAGGACCATTCCTCCCACTTTTGAGAACATTCCACCACTCTTGTGACCATTCCCTCCACTTTTGAGAACATTCCACCACTTTTGGAACCATTCCCACCACTTTTGAGAACATCCCACCACTTCTGGAACCATTCCCACCACCTTTTGAGAACATCCCACCGCTTTTGAGGACCTTGCCACCCCTCTGGGACCACGCCCACCTTTCTGGATGAGCTCGGTGGCACCGGCGCGCCGGTCGGGCCCGAAGTTCTCCCACTGCTGGGTGGTGTCCAGGTAGTGGACGGCGATGACGGTGGGCGTCAGGCTGATCATGTTCTGCTCCCCGCAGCCCGACGGCGTCACGATCAGGTGCTTCAGCTTGGCACCATCGATGGCCTTCTCCACCAGGATGGACACGGGGTTGCCTGGCCCGCGGGAGGACGCGTCACGCCCGAGGCGGTCCCACCCCCAACCGGGTTGTCCCCAGGTGTCTTCTCCTCGCGGCTCACCTTGGATGCTGACTTTGGTCTCCGACTCGGTGTTGGGGACAATGTCCGAGAGGTCGGCGGCCTTCACCCGCTCCTCCTGCACGCCGTCTGTGCGGTGGGGTGGGGTGGGGTGGAGATGGGTGACCCCAGGTCCTCCTCGTGTCCCCCCACAACGTTCAAGCCCGTGGTGGCCCAGCCCCACCCCACATCGGGGTGTCCCCTTGTCCCTGCAGACCACACCAGGAGGTCTCTTCTGCCTTGAGATGTCCCAGTTCTGTGGTGGGATGTCCCTTGTCCTCCAAGGTGTCCCAGGCATGAGCTTGGAGGCACCTCCTTGATCCCTCCAGATGTCCCAAAGCCAC